CTCTGCCCGAGCTCACGGCGCTCGTCGCACGGCCCGCGGCGGAGCACGTGGCCAGGGAGGCCGCGCAGGCCGTGGAGGCCATCGTGGCCTCTGCCGCCCGCCGGCGGAAAGTGGCGGTCGCCGCGCTCCATGCGCTGCTGCCCTCCCTGCTCATGACGCAGGACACTGTGCCCCCGTCCACGCGGTCCGTGCCCTGCATGCTCCGCCAGTCACGCGCAGCAGCCCTGGAGCTGGCCTGTCGCCTCGTCCGGGGCTGCCCCGAGCTGCTGGCGCCCAGCGGCGACCAGCCGCACGACACGCCCACGGACAGCGACGACCAGTCGCACGGGACGCCCGCGGAGGGGCAGCAGGCTGGCGGCGAGGGGCTGGACGAGCCGGTATTGGCGTTGCTGCAGAGGCTCTGCGCGCTGGCCCACGACAGGTCCGAGTGGCGCGCCGCGGCGGCGGAGAGCGTCGCCGCGCTGCTGCGCGAGGCCGTCGCCGCCGAGGCCGCCGTGGCACGGAGCGCTGCGGAGCGCGGCGCGGGCGATTGCGGCCCCGTGCCCAGGAAGAGGTCGCTGGTGCCCGCGCCTCTGGGTGAGGCCGCTGGCTGGGCAGGGGGGCCCCGGGTGCTGAGCGGGTTCCTGGCGTTCCTAGAGAAGCTGCTCCAGTGCGAGCGGGTCTCCTCCAGGGGCGTTGCGGTGGAGACAGCAGTGGCGCTCTTGGAGCAGCGGGAGGGCCCCATCGTGCCCAGCGACCCAGCTGCTTGGACCGCGGTAGCCGCGCGGTGCGCCGCCGCGGTGGCCGAGCGCTGCGCCGACTCGGCCCCCGCGGTGAGGTGCCGCGCCCTGCAGGCCGCGGCACGGCTGCTGCGGAACGCCGATGGCGCTGGCGCGCCTGGGATGCCCGCGCAGCTCGCGGCGAGACTGTTCAGCGCCGGCGCGAGGGACGAGAAGCCGATGGTGCGCCACGCGGCCCTCTCCCTGCTGGACTCGCTGCTGCCCGAGCTCGCGGCGGGCCGCCAGGCTGGAGGCCCGGACGGCGCCGACTCCCTGGCGGCGGACCTCGCGCCTCTCCCCGCGCTCGCGGGGGACGAGTCCTCGCTGGTGCGGCGGGCCGCCGCCGCCAGCATCTCCCTGCTCCTCAGGCGGCTGCCCACGGGCGACACCCGCCGCATGTGGGCGGAGTGCGTGCTGCCCCTGGTGGCGGACGACGAGCCCTCCGTGGCCGAGCAGGCGCTGAGCGGCGTCGACGAGGCCATCTTCCGGCCCCTGCTGGCGGCGGGCGAGCCCGCGGCGCGCCAGGCCGCGCCGACGGCGGTGGCGGCGCTGCTGGATGCGCTGTCGGGCGAGGCCTGCGAGTTCCTCCGGCGGGCCCTGCGCTGCCTCGAGGGGCGCGGGCAGAGCGGCCGGCCCGCGGCGCTGGCGGCGCCGCTGTGCGCGATCGCCTCTGGCTGCGTCCGGGAGCGGGCCGCAGGCGAGTGGCCGGAGGCAGTGTGGGTCCTGCTCGAGGAGATCGCGTCCGCCCACCCGGCCGCGGTGCGTCCGGAGCCGGCCGTGGCGGCGTGGGATTGTCCGGTAGCGAATCATGGGAGCCTTGCATGTCTTCGCAAGTCCGCGCCTTCAGAGTGCACTACGGTGGGGCGTTCGTTAAGGAAAGTGAGCAGGGGGGTTCAGACCCTGGAGGATTCCTTATCTGATGAGGGTGAGGGTGATGTCCATGGCCAAACATCAGTCGGAGTTCCACGGGCTTCCAGACCCTGGATTCCTTATCTAAGGGTTCCTTATCCAATGCCCCCACCGTAGCGTGCGCCAGCGTCTGGTAATCGAATGTAGTGTCGACTGGCGTCGATTCACGTCGGCTAGCGTCGGTTAGCGTCGACTCGCAAGAGCCGATCACGACCAGAGCCCTGGACCCCACTGTCCTGCGCCATTTTTCGATCCCGATCGATCTGTGAGTGTCCTGGGACCCCAAAACGGGCGAACAGGCCCAGTGCGAAAAAACAATTGCAGCGACCAGATCTGAGGGATGGGAGGCCCCCGTGAATTGCCATCGAAGGACTGCCTGAGCCAGGGCGCCAGGTCGGGGGCGGCCAAGAGGGGGGGGGATGATTGGGGGGGCCTGCAGGGGGGGGATACCACAGCGGGGGCCATGATATATCTCCAGATCTCATGGCGCCCCTTCTTGTTTCAATACGTCCCCGCCCCCCACCCCTGGGCCGCGCACATGCCGCCGGCCATGATTGGCGCCCCCCTCCCTTGGACGCCCCCGACCAGGGGCGGATGCCTCGCAGTCGGCCCCCGCGAGACGAGCGCCGGGGTCCTCGTGCTGCGCGCCATGGGTCACACGGCCGCCTCCGCCGCGGCGCCGGTCGCGGCCAGGCTGCTGCAGGAGAGTCCAGTCTTAGGTCGGGCATGTCGTTCTACAGGGGGGATCTGCAAGAATGGTACGCAACGCAATCGTCTGGGGACGATGTTTCGTTTTTTTTTCTTCTGTGTGGCAGTTCGAGCGTTGCTTGACTATTTCATATTTGTCTTCAAGGTTCGCCTGGAGGAGGACATCCGCGACCTGAACAGTCTCACCAGTCGCATCCGAGGTCCAGCCCCCTCTCTCGAGACTTTAGAAGTATCTTGCCTCATTGATGTTCAGGTCGTCTCTTGCTTCGGAGGCGGTGCACCTTGTGTTTTTATTTGGCCATTTCGGGGTTTTCTTTCGCAAGTCCACGGTGGTGTTTTGAGTGGGGTTCATTGCAGTTCGACCGAGTGGGGCGTCGGATAGAATGACCGCCGCTGCGCGAATTCCTCTTTGAGGCCCACGCGGCGGAGGGTTGACGAAGCTTTCCTCGCAAGGAAAAACGGGCTGGGAGAAAAACACATCGAATGTCCAACAAGTGATGTATGTGTACTATACATTCGTTTTTGCTGATACGAATGTCGGATCAACATTCGCGTTTTTAAAGATATGTACTCGCGACTATTGCATAACAGTTCTTAGGTTGTCTTGGTATTGTCATGATTATTTGTTTTTGTTTGAAGCAGTCCGTCTTCAATTAGACGCCGCTGTGGGATCTGGGGACCTCGTCGCCGCGGGAGGGTGCACGGCCACAATGGTAGTGTGCTCAATCGGGGAGGAGGCAAAGACGCAATCGGTGAGTGAACTGCGCAGAGAGAACTGCCAGCTGCACGCGCGTTCGCAGCCAGGAGAGAATGCGCGGTCTGCGCGGGGCCATGGCAGGCGGATCGAGGCATGATTTTCCAAATGAGTTTCAAATTGCTCTAAAGGGGGGGGTGGGGCCTCCGATTTCATTGGTCGCAGCCAACGCGCCTAGTAAGGACGCGCGCCTTCATCTAGGGTCTCCTGGTGTCCCTGCCTCTGCGGCCCGTCCTTTGTCGTTTTCAGTCGTCGCCCGCCGCCGAACAAATCTCCACTTCGACCTCGTCTTGCGTCCTCACCACTCGTCCTTAACACACGTTCTGATCGTCAGGCCTTGAAGCTCGCCGAGGGGCAGCGACCGCGATCTGTGTTGTCCGAGGCGGCGGAGGAGGGGAAGCTCCGAGCTTCCTGCGAAGGGGAGTCGCAAGGGTCGCGATTGACGGATCAGGCGCGCTGGCCGAGCGTATTGGGATTTGACTCTGAAATTAACGCTGCCCCGCCGCGACGTCCAAGTAAGGCTTCGGGCTGCGCGCAGACGCCCCCCCCCTGGTTGTCCCCGCCAGCTGGTACCCCAACCCTGAGGCCCAGAGCGCCGACAGCAAAACCGTGGCGAGGCGTCATGGCTTGCCTGTGGACCCACCAAAGAATGTTCTAAGGGTCACTTGTGGCGTGAGCGAAAGGTTCTTAGACCATGCCTGACTGAGACCGTTATGCTTCAATACATCGACTTTATGCTTTATGTTCTAACGTCTACCGCCATGGTTCGTGCTCTTGGGACGCTCTCTTGCTCTCAGAGCATGTCGTGGTAGGCCCATGGGAATGCCGAGACGGTCGATATCTGGATCCGAAACTGCTCGGGGGGCCTCTTGAGGCCGGCCAGGACCTCCCGGGGGGCCTGTGCGCGCAGCCCGAAGCCCTCCCGATCCAGAAGCTCCGCGGGACAGGACCTGCCCACCCGGGCTGGCGCCAGCAGCGAGCAGCAGCTGAATCGCGGTTTGCCCATCGGAGTTCCGCTCATTGAAGATAAAAGAGCCCCTAACCCTCATAGCACGATGAAGACGTAGCCTCGCTGAGGTCCTCGTCTTCGCATTGGGGATAATCAGTCTGGGCGGCTTGGTTCGACACATCTGCAGCAAAGACCCCCTACTTCCCTAATGCTCCTGGCCCTCCTAACTTAGGTCCCCTCCCAGATGGTCAGGGGTCCTCTTTGGGTGATGAATCATTCGCGGCTGTTCTCCATCCCCCTTCCTTAAAGGTCGGATACAGCCATGACCCCAGGCAAGGGGACCCGGTTAGTGGTAGGGCCCCGGAGCCCGTAAACTGACCAGAATCACTAAACCAGGTCATAGAAATCAACCATTTTATAGAAAACAAGTCAGGTTGACGAATGGGGGCTTGGTTGTCCTGGGCCAAGATGTTAACCCAATGCATCTGGTGGGGGGGGTACCTCGACTGCCGAGGCAGGGAAGGGTGACGCGCCTAGTTCCTAAGAGCTCCTTCTCGGCGAGGCATGCCCATTGCTTGTAGAGAAGATCCAAGGCCTCCTGCACTGGCTGCACCTGGCCTTCCTTGCACTGCCGCTGCAGCCGCTCAGCGGCATCAATCATGTGATCATAGGATGGAGGTTCTGGCGCAGGTCCCACGGCTGGATCTACAGGGATCGGAGGGGGCTTCCGAAAAACAAGCCCGTGGAGAAGACCGAGCCCGGCGTAGAAGTCCATCTGCATCGGGAGGTGCTGGGTGATGTTCGAGGTCGTGATGGCGGAAATGCTCTGCACTCCCTTGGCCAGGCCGCCGGTCACCAGGAAGAAATCCAGGATGTTGGCCCCACAAGTTCCCAATACATCTTTGGGAACGATCATCTGAGCTCGAAGCCGAGACACCATGCCAGAAGATTCCAACACTTCAGGTCTACAATTATAACCGCCTCCCAAAATCGATGGTAAGGACACCTCCGCAAGGGCCCCAACCTTCGCCAGAATACAAACATTTGCTTCTGTAAGACCTTCAGAATCCCGCAGATTTGTGCTTGCCACGAAAAAACGTTCACCGCCAGGGACGTTAATAATGCCTCCCACTGCCCGATGCGGTTCGATGAGGTGGGACCCAGGAAGCCCAGGGTGATGCAACCCAAGCCCAAACCGCACCATGATACCGACGCCTCCTGAGGTCCCGTGGCCGACTCCCCGAGAAGCGGGAATAAGCAAAGCAGACCAGCCGTGTTGTCGAGCCCACGCCACGGCATCGTCGATGTCTGGCTCGAGAAGATGGTGCTCCTGAATCAAAATCACGTTCGCAGTGACGTGTGGCAGCCACTTCATGAGACCTCCTCGTAAACATTGACCGTCTGAACGCTCAATTTGAAAGACGGATACCCAGGGCTGGCCGTGGGAGAAACAAATGGGAAGAAGACCGGCGGACTTGCCTGGTCAGGAAGCAAAGCGCCGCTGGAGAGGGAACGAGGCACCGAAAGAGAGGAAGGCCTACCTGACTGCGGCAGTGGGGCCCCTGCCAACGGCTCCGCAGGACTGCCAGCTTGCAAAGGCGCGGACGGGGGCACGCTGGTCGAGAAATCCTTCCGACCAAGAAAAAATTGTTGTAGGGCCTCGGATAGAATCGCCGAGGCGTCCAGAGTAGGAAGAAGAGGAGGACGAGGAGGAGGAGAAAAGGGGAGAGCGGAGGGGGAGAGACTGACCGCCCACACGATGGCCAGCATCACTGTCGCCATTGTTGTGATGGCGAGAGGCAGCGCCACCAAAATCTGATGAACGAGAGTCTCGTGGTGCGGCTTGTCCCCACTGGGGGTTAGAAAAAATGAGGGGAGCACAACACATGATGAAATGTCCCACGATGCCTCCCCGGCCGATCAGAGGCATCCTCGGCACCGCACAAAGACCCCACGCACTGCCTACAAAGCTTGACCCAACGGCGAACTGAGCTAGCAACTTCATGCACCAAAAAATCTCGATGCGATAGGGCTCGGAAGAGGCCTTGCAGCGAACTGGCTGGACATGCGGACTCATTTCGACGCACCCTCCACCCCCTGCAGCAGAAACCTCCGCTGCGGGGGGGCCGGGGCGGGACTGAAGGGCCTCTGCTGCACGCTGCCGCACGTCCGCACTCGGGCGAGCAGCCATCAGTGGCTGGCTCAGACTGCGGGGCGGCAGGGCCACCCCCAGGGGGAGAGGGGAGGCCGCGCCAGCATCTCCTCCGCCTGCAGCAGCAGCGCCGTCCCGAGGAGCGCCAGCGCGGCGCTTCTTGGCGGCCAGGCGCTGCGTGTGGGCCTTGTGAGACTCCTTTGCGGACCGGGCCTGCTCCAGTAGCGGGCCGATCAATTCCTTGGCCAGCTTCTGGACTGCCTCGCCGAGCTGGCCACGCCGGTCCTCGACCTCCTTGGGGTCCTCGGGAGCCATCTCGCTCTCCAAGCTGGCGTCCGCAACCAACCCGTCAAGCTCGATGATCTTGCCCAAATCGAAGCTCTGGTCCACCATGTCCGACAGCGTGATGTTGGAACCGCAAGACTGCTGCAGCTCGTCGAGGTGGCGTTTGTAGGTGTCGTCAGCCTCCTGGAGCTTCTGCTGCAGTAGCTCGATGTACCGATACTGGTTGTCGAGGTCCTGCTAACACTTCTCGAGTCGGCCCAACTCATCACAAAGCTTACGCTCAGCACGCTCCACCTCCTCCTGGCTCTGCTGGATGCGCTGGTGCACGGGGACCTGCGCTGGATGAGCCTCGTCGTGTAGCTTGCGCGCGAGCTGGCCGTACTTCTCTGCGCTAGCCAGGTCGCCAGCCTTGCGTGACAGCTCTGCGAGTTGAGTGGCATCTTGAAGGGAGAGCTGTGGCACCAGGCCGGCCGCCAAGGGCACCCCAGGCCTCCCTTGCCCCCGCCAGCTCCTTGTCCTTTGCCACCACCCTTAGTTCCGTTAGCTGCTCCTCCACTCTAGCCAAGCCGCCCAGCACTGGAGGTTGGCGATCAGCAGGCAGAAAAACGCCAGGCGGCACATCAGCCCATGCACCCTGGGTTCCCGGCGGCTTTGCCGTGGAGATCTTCTGGAGGGTGTTGCCGCAATGTTTGCAGAAGCGGGCCTTCTGATCGTTCTTGCCGCAGCCGCAGGTGATGCATTTGATCGTGGGGCATGTGGCAGGCTTCTTCTTATTGCGGTTGGACGGCCACTGCCATTCCCAACCGCCCTCGTTATCATGTATAGCAGACTCCGTCCGCCACGGCCACGTGGAACTCGCGCCATGACTGTGGGACGGGATCATGCGAACGTGGATTGCTTTCCGACCGAGCCAGAGAGGCCCGTTGACGCAAATGCCGCTCTGAAGTTGGCGTCAACACACGCAGGGTCGCAAGAAACCTGCGCCAGAACGGCTTAAATGAGGAGGAGGAGGAGGAGGAGGAGGCGGGAGGAGGAGGAGGAGGATGAGGAGGGGAGGAGGAGGGAGGAGGAGGAGGAGGAGGAGGAGGAGGAGGAGGAGGAGGGAGGAGAGGAGGCGGGGAGGAGAAGGAGGCGGGAGGAGGAGGAGGGAGGCGGAGGAGGAGGAGGAGGAGGATTGCTCAGGGCTGCCCCTGGGCGTAGCCGGAGCCCTCCAGGAGCTCCGCGGCCTGCTCGCCTCCTTCGCCGCGCCCGCCTGCTGGGCGCGGGAGATGCTGCGCCTCGAGGGGCTGCTGGCCGCGCGGCGGGACGTCGCTGGCTGCGGGGCCGCGGCGTGGGGCGCCGAGCTGCTGCGGCGGAGCGGCGAGGTGCTGGAGCAGCTGCGCTCCGGGGCCGCCGTGGGCCCCCAGGACGCCGAGGAGGAAAGAGTTGAAGTCGGGTGAAAAAGGTATCCAAAAAAGCATTCCAAAAAGTAGAGCATCCCAAAACAATTAAAAGTATTCCAGACCCTCTGCAGGGGGAATACTCAAAAAAAGTATTAACAAGTATATAAAAGTAAAAAGTTTGAAAAACAAGTGAAAAACTGATTCAAAGCCCCCTGCAGGGGGAATATTTAAAAAACATATAAAAAGAATCAGGGGACGTTGTTTTAAGATCATGTTTGGTAATTGTTCGACTGTGTTTCATTTGCCTTCCAAGCTCCGCCTGTAGGAGGACAGGCCCGACTTCAGAAACAAAAAGGTACATGCCGGTCGTTGAAAGTAGGTCTTCCTGGATTTCCAGATTCCAATCTGCTTTAGCCGCCTTCCTACTTCAAGGGTCGAGCGGTCTTCCATCTTCCCTCCTCTTCAGGTGGCGGGCGGAAGTTCAGTCTACTTCCAACGCCTTCCTGCTTCATGTTTCTACCCACTTCTTCCGACCGACGGGCACCCGCACCTCGGCCACGCGCAGGGGGGGGGTCTGAGAAGCACCCCTGCTTCTTAGAGGGCCCGAGCCATGTCTACAGATGTAGGGCCGGCGCCCCTCCTCCTAAGAAGCCGTCTCCCCTCACCCTACCCCCCTGTGCGAGCCGCCTAGTATCGCTATCTGTCCTTTTGTTCCCCGTAGTTTGGGAGCCTCCTGGGAGGCCCTCGTCGCCACCGCTGGGTCTGCCTCGAGATTCTGGTCATAACGCACCCTGGGAGAGGACCAGGGAGCAGCAGTATCGGTGCCTTGTCGTCCCCCCAAGGACCGGGCGTTGCAGGGCCCGCGAGTATCCGATCGATCCGACCGATGCGGTGAGGACCGTGCCCAGGGGGATTCAGACCCTTAGGGTGCCTGATCTGATAAAGGACGCGGTGCTATATCCAGGGCCAATCGACGATCAGAGTTCCATTGGCTTCGAGATCCTGGATTCCTTATCCTATCCATTGATTTTGGCGGGGGTGCGTCTGGACCTGGGTGCGAGGCGCTGGAAATGCAGAGCCAAGGAGCAGGCGGTGACGCGGGCAGTGTGCTGCAGCCCACCGCGGTGGTGTGGCAGCCGCTTGGGGCGCGCCCGTGCTAGCAGCTGCAGCCCCATGCCCCAGGGGTCTCGTCAGTTCGCGACGAGGTGGCCGAAGGCCGCGCGCTGGCATTCGGGCAGGGCCTGGAAGCTGGATGGTGGCTGGCAGCTTCCGCTCGCGAAGGCAGTGACGGGGTCCAGTCGAGCGCGGAGGGCGTGGTCTTTGCGGACCCTCCAGCCTCCCCTCCTGGGCCTGGCCTGGACAGGTGTTTCAGCCACCGGGTGCAGGACGATTGCGACCTCATGGACGTCGAGGTCGTCGGGATTGTCCGCGACGCGGAGGGCGTTTGCTTCGGCGAGGCGGGCGGCTCGTCAGTCGAGGTCTCGTCGGAGTTGCACACGCGGGAGGACTTCGAGCAGGAAGTGGACAGGAGCTTCAGCCGCCGCGTGCGGGACGACTGCGACCTCATGGACGTCGAGGTCGTCGGGAATGTCCGCGACGCGGAGGGCGTTTGCTTCGGCGAGGCGGGCGGCTCGTCAGTCGAGGTCTCGTCGGAGTTGCACGCGCGGGAGGAGTACGAGCAGGAAGACGTCGAGGGCGAGTTGGCGAGCGGCTCATTCGGCCCGAGGCGGATGCCGAGTTCTGCGGCCTCGTGTTCGGCATATTGGAGGGACTCGACCTCTCCATGGTCCACTACATCGACCCCTGCTACGAGCTACTCAGCGGGGCGGTTTCCGCACGCCTGGAGGTCATGAGCGTTGCGCGGTCGCCCTGGACTGATGACGGGGTAAAGGTTTTCGTGCGTGGTTACGTGGGGGGGGGATAGGGTGCACAGGTTCGACTCCGGAGGTGGCAGAGCGACGGCCACCCGCGCGCGGGAGGGCTGGACCGAGAAGCTCGGCGAGAACGCGGGCGCGGACCTGGAGGCTGGATCCAGCGGCCTTGGCTTGCCTCGGCGCACGGGCGCTGGCGCGGAGCCTGGGCCAGGCGCGGTAGCGGCGCCGAGCTCGAGCCAGGCCAGTGGCTCGGGTCTCATCGTTCCTCCGCTCGCGAGCGTGGCCAGGGCCCGTGGCTTCGCGAGCGCGGAGGCTGCGCGGGCGCGAGGGCGAGAGGCCCGCGCCGAGCGCGCGGCGGCGGCGCGCGGGGAAGGGGCGCCCCGGGAGGACGAGCCAGAGCCTTGAGCGGCTTGCTCCCAGGGGGCCCGCCTGCGTTTGCGAGTCGAATTGATTGCAAGGGCCCGAGCTTGAAAAATGCCCCCACCGTAGCGATGTCGGCCCGCTGGATCCGATCCGACTCCGAAATTCGATCCGATGGGGCCCGATGCGTGCATGGCGCTGTCGTGCACCCTGGCGTGGCCGATGCGGCTCGATTTCGACGCCGTGCCGATGCCAGGCGATCCGAGGCACCTTCCGATCCGTTCCGTCTTCCCGATGCGAGGCTGACTGATCCTGGCGTTGCCAAACCCAGACATTCACGCGTCGTGGCAAAAGTCACGACGCCGGGGGTCCTGGGTCCAGATCGTGGCAAAAGTCACGCACGCGCCAAGGCGCGCCGTTCTCTGGCGGTCCTGGGGGGCCGGCAAAGAACGACGCAGGATTAAGAGCCGGCCCCGGGGGAAGGTTCGGGAACAAAACTTGGCATCGCATGTCTGCGGGAAGGCGTCCCCGAAATTCCCGGAGAGGCCCAGAGGACCTCCAGAGCACCCATCACGAGGCCCACGGGGCCCCTTTGGGACGACCGCGGGGGGGGGGGATTGAGGGGATAGGGTGGGCACGAGCGGACGCCAAAGCTTTCTATCAAAATATCATTAGTCTCATGCTGTAATAACCTGGACCCCCTAAACCAGACCCCCCCCCCCATGGGCGCCCCGGGCGCCCTTTCGGAGGTCTCGTTGGCCCCGTGGGCGCCATTGGAAAAGGTCCGCTGGCCTTCCCGGGCCTCCCAGGTCGCCTTGCTAGGCCTTGCGAGCAGACCCAAGGCGATAATCAATGGGGTCATCGGAGAGGCGCAAGAGAGACTCAAGAGAGCACAAAAGCGCTCCAAGAGGAACCTCAATGGTCTGAAGACGGCCCAAGAGGCCCCCAAGACGCCCCAAGAGGCCTTTCAGAGAGCCACGAAGAGGCACACATCGCCCTATTCCCATTGGCATATATATATACATATATATATATATATGTATATGTATATGTATATGTATGTATATGCATATATGTATGTATGTATGTATGTATGTATGTATGTATGTATGTATGTATGTATGTATGTATGTATGGATGTATGTATGGATGTATGTATGTGTGTATGTATGTGTGTATGGATGTGTATATATATATATATATATATAGGTATGCCCGTAAATGCTTCGCCCCATGCCGCCGGCCCCCTGCCTCGGATAATGGGAGATGCAAAAGCTAAATCATGAGGTCTGGGCGCCGCCATGAAGCAGTGTCGGGACCTGTTTGTTTTTCGACCCTGACCCCGCCGATCTGCGCGAGGGGTGCCGCCGGATTTCAGAAATGTGGCAAATCCGTTGTGTTTTTGGACCCTGACCCCGCGGATCTGCGTGAAGGGTGCCGTCGGATTTCAGAAATGTGGCAAATCCAATGTATTTGGGACCCTGACCCCGCGGATCTGCGTGAGGGGTGCCAGCGAATTTCAGACATGTGGCAAATCCCATGTTTTTGGACACTGACCCCGCGGATCTGCGTGAGGGGTGCCAGCGAATTTCAGACATGTGGCAAATCCAATGTTTTTGGACACTGACCCCGCCGATCTGCGTGAGTGGTGCCACCGGATTAAATTAGCCTGACGAAGGACCCATCCATATGCAGGTGTGAGTACCGCAATTGTGATTCACTTTTTCGGTGGTGGCCCCTATGAGGCAACGAACTGTGCTAGGGGTGTGCCGAAATAAGTGGCGTGGTACACAACGCGAACGAAAACGATTGATCTGAGTACGTAGGGAGACTGAGCGCGGGTGAATCTGAGCGCGAGCGCGTCTGACTGTGAATGAATCTGAGTGCGAGCGAGTCTACGTGCATGAATGCGAGTCAACGGGGGAACGCATGCGAACACCACCACGGGGGCCTTCGGTGGAGCTCCTTATGGGGCCACGAAACGCTGTCCTGGGCGGAGGGGACGCGTGCGAACACCCCCACGGTGGCCTTCGGTGGAGCTCCTTATGGGGCCACGACACGCAGTCCTGGGTGGGGGGGGCGCATGCAAACACCACCACGGGGGCTTTCGGTGGAGCTCCCTGTGTTGCCGCGAAGCGCTGTCCTGGGTGGGGGGGAGCACGCGGGCACCCCCACTGGGGCCTCCATTGGAGGTTTGTATGGGGCCACGAAGCGCTGTCCTGGGCGGGGGGGACGCATGCGAACACCGTCACGGAGGCCTTCGGTGGAACTCCCTATGTTGCCACGAAACGTTGTCCTGGGTAGGAGGGACGCAGGCGAACACCCCCACGGAGGCCTTCGGTGGAGCTCTCCCTTTATGGGGCCACGAAACGTTGTCCTGGGTGGAGGGGACGCATGCGAGCACACCCACTTGGACCTTCGGTGGTGCTCCCTATGGGGCCACGAAGCGTTGACCTGGGTGGGGGGGACGCATGCGAACACCCCCACTGGAGCCTCCGGTGGAGCTCCCCATGGAGCCACGAAGCGATGTCCTGGGTGGGGGGACGCATGCGAACACCTTCACGGGGCCTTCGGTGGAGCTTCCTATGGGGCCACGAAGCGCTGTCTTGGGTGGGGGGGACGCATGCGAACACCCCCACGGGGGCCTTCGGTGGAGCTCCCTATGAGGCCACGAAACGCAGTCCTGGGTGGGGGGGGGACGCATGCGAACACCACCACGGGGGCCTTCGGTGGAGCTCTCCCTTTATGGGGCCACGAAGCGCTGTCTTGGGTGGGAGGGACGCATGCGAACACCCCCAATGGGGCCTTCGGTGGAACCCCCATATGGGGCCACGAAGCGCTGTCCTGGGTGGGGGGACGCATGCGAACACCTTCACGGGGGCCTTCGGTGGAGCTCTTTGTGGGGCCACGAAACGCTGCCTTGGGTGGGGGAGACGCATGCGGGCACCCCCACTGGGGCCTTCGGTGGAGTTCCCTATGGGGCCACGAAACGCTGTCCTGGGCGTGATGATGATGGTGATGGGAGGGGAGGAGGGGGAGGAGGAGGAGGAGGAGGAGAGGAGGAGGAGGAGGAGGTGGGACGCGGGGCGCTGTCTCTTCAAAACGAGGACCCAACACCACAGGATGGTTGGGAACAAATACTGCAAATCCAATTGTTTGGACCCTGACCCCGCCGATTTGCATGAGGGGTGCCACCGAATTTCAGAAATATTGTAAATCCCCTGTGCTTGTGCACCCTGACCCCGCCGATCTGCGTGAGGGGTGCCATCGAATGCCAAACATGTGGCAAATCCTTTTTGTTTTGGACCCTGACCCCACCGATCTGCGTGAGGGGTGAAAGCAAATGTCAGAAATGTGGCAAATCCTTTGTGCTTTTGGGCCCTGACCCAGCCGATCTGCGTGAGGGGTGCCACCGAATTTCCAGAAATGTGGCAAACCCTTTGTGGGTTTGCACCATGATCCCGCCGATCTGTACGAGGGGTGACACCGAATTTCAGAATGTGGCAAATCACCTTTGTTGTTGGACCCTGACCCAGCCGATTTGCGTGAGGGGTGCCAGCGAATTTCAGAAATGTGGCAAATCCCATATGTTGTTGGACCTTGACCCCGCCGATCTGCGTGAGGGGTGCCACCGAATGTCAAACATGTGGCAAATCCCTTGTGTTTTTGGACCCTGACCCTGGCGATCTGCGTGAGGGGTGTCAATGCTTACTTGTCCCCGCAATTCAGACAATACGCTCAGGGCGTGGTAAAATTCCTGTTTGGGGCCTCCCCCCCCTCGCGCGGTACATCAACAAGGAACAGTAAGCAGCAACAAGCAGAACTGTAACAGTGGAAACTGGAAGCTGCAAAGAAGCAGAACTGTAACAGTGGAAACTCGAAGCTGCAACTGGTACAGAAAACTGCGAACCTTCGTCCTACAGCCTGGTGGCCCCACAAGGGGGCCCGCGGAACTGTATATATATATATATATATATATATATATACAAGACTGCATTGGCGCTTCGCGCCATGCACCTTGGTCCTTCAACCCTTGCGCGCGTTGGCGTCTAGTGCGGCCCTCCGCAGTGGCTACAAATGCAGTCTCCGAGCCCCAGCGATAGGGACTTGCAGTCTGTGAGCGTGGAAGTACTACCAGTGGGCGAGGCGCAGGAATTGCAAACCCGCGTAGTGCTGCGTGCTTTGAGGTGCCTCGCGTCGAAGTGGGTCCTGTCCCAGAGCTCTCCGCAGCGCGTGCAGGAGAAGAGGTCTTGCTTCGGACGGCCGTCAGTGGCGCACGCCTCCGAGTGGATCGGTGCAGCTGGCAAGGGCTGAAGTGAGTTCGATCGTGCATGTCCCCGCAACGAGTGCATTGATAGTCTTTGTGTTGGGGGGCTGACCGTGATTGTGTTTCCCGTCGACTGGCACACGACTTGCAAGCCCGATTGGACTGCTGAAGTTGTGTTGTGGAGAATGATTCTGCAGGCAGGGTCTCGCCACAATCGAAGCAAGCGAATACAGACATCGAGGATGTGCCGTATGCGACAGCTTAAAAATGTAAGCCAACGGCTACGGATGCATGTGTGCGAACACGTGTGGAAAACAATGTTTCCTTAATGACTTGGAAGGGCCCTCGTGAAACCTCCATGGAACGATTATTCTGGGATGCGATAGGGCATAGGGCAGCAAGCATGCAGGCAACGTACCGGATCCTGGAAATACTAAGGACATCTACCGAATTCCGGGGAAATGTGCCGAATCCCGGGTTCGCAGCCGATTTCCCGGGAATTTGGTTGCGAACCCGGGATTTCAAGCATTTTGGTGTTTTGCGTGGGATGCCACTGTCTGGCAAACAACGGAGCAGCGCAGCGAAGCCGTTCCGGAGGTGGCGGTCAAGTGGGGCGATTCAGCAGTTTTGAAGCCTCTTGGGGGGCCGTTTTGGCTGCCTTTTGGAGAGCCATTTTGGGGCCTCGTGGGTTCTTTTTGGGAGTCCTCGGGGCCTTTGGAAGCCTCTTGGGGCCTCTTGGGGCCCTCCTGGGGCCTCCTGGGGCCCACTTGGGGCGGAAAGTTAGATGTTTGAACTTTTGATCGCCCTGTGGGGGCTCGTTTGAAGCTTTCTCGGGGCCCTCTTGGGCCTTCTTGGGCGCCTCTTGGGCTGTTTCGGGGCGCTCCAGAGCCGTCTTGGGGCCGTGTTGGGGCCGTTTTGGGGGCCCCCCGGGCCATCTTGGGGCGCTTTTGAGGGCCTCTAGTTTTGTCTTGGAGCGTCGGAAACCTAAAATGGCGAGAAAGCAGAAAACATCGAAAAACACATTGGAAAATTGACCATTTCGGCCTCCCGGGGCCGTCTTGGGGGGCTTCTTTGGGGCCGCTTGGGGCGTCTTGGGGGCTCCTGAGGCTGTCTTGGGGCTATATTTGGCGTCTTGGAGCGCTTTGTGCCTGTCTTGGAGCGCTCTTGAGGCACTCGGGACCGCTTCAATGGGCGTCCGGAGGGTCCCAAAGTCCCAGGATCCCAGGAGTCCGGTTTGGGGGGGGGGGGGGGTGCGGGGTTTTGCGGCCGCCCGGGCTTGTAAAAATATAGGAAGAGGAATACATACAGAGAGAGAGAGAGAGAGAGAGAGAGAGAGAGATTTAGCGTATCCGCTCTTGGGGTCTCCGCAGCGTTCATGACGGCCCCCGATATCGCCCCAAGACGGCCCAAGAGGCCCCCCAGAGGGCTTGAAGACGGCCAAAGAGGGCCCCAAGACTGCTCCAGGGCCCCGAGAGTACCCACAAGAAGCCCAAGATGCCCCCAGAAGGCTCCCAAGAGAGACCCGCGAAAGCCATGGGATACCCCCGAGAAGGCCACTGGAGGCCCCCAAGAGGGCCCTACATCGCTTCAGAAGACTTCTGGAGAACCTCAGCTGCCCAAAACGGCCCAAGAAGGCCCCAGGACGGCCAAGAGAATCCCAGGATGGCCCAAAAGAGCCCCAGAAACGCCCAGACGGCGTTCTCCTACGAAGTACATCGAGCTGACCCGACGATCTTGGTTCCACGCTTGAGGCTCGAGGCCTAAATTCCTCGATCGAGAGAAACAGGCAATGGATCTAGATTCGAAGTTCGACGATCGAGGATTTTCTGAGTACCTGGAGCCCTCCATTCAGGAAACGACCAGAAATCGGTTTGTCCGGAGCTACTGCGACTTCTTCGGCGTGTCATGGGAACGCTCCTTACTTCCTCAAAGGATGGACTCAACCACTGGAGGAGGCCGAAGAGGCGGAAAGGAGGAGGAAGGAATGGGTAGGGATAAACCTCGGAGGTGGCAGATGAAAAAGCCAGACGACAGGTTTCTCCCTACCTCCTCCCATGAGGAGCGGTGCGTCAGCAAGCAATGATTGATTGCTTCGTCGGGGAAGCGTCTGGAACACGGCGCATGGCGCGAAGCGCCACTGCAATCTTGGATATGTATAGATATGTACACACATCTATGGCCCGACCAGGCTCATAAGCGGGTTACACATGCCCCCAGTGGCCAAGGGGGGCCAGGTAGATCCGCTAGGTGGGCGGAGCCCGCTTAGCCCAGACCTCTGATCCCGCCAAGCCACCCGGGGCATGCGTGACCCATGTATGACCGTGGCAACCGTGTAACCGTTGGCCCCTATGTGACCACCGTGGCATCCGCGTGCAAGCCCCGATTTTATCCCCTTAGCGGCCCCCGCGGTCCTCCCAGCAGAGGCCCCAAGATGGCGCGAGAGGCCGGGGACCCCCCGCGCGGGGCAGAACCTCTTCTAGCGATACCCGGCCCAGGAGCTCAACGGCGCCCTCTTCGCGGTCGGGGAGCTGGCGCCGCACGCCGGGCGGCAGGGGCACGTGGCGGGCTACTGCGTGGAGGCCACCGCCAGACTCCTGCAGGGCATCGCGTTTGGCACGGACGGCCAGCAGGTCGAGCAGTGGCGAAGCGTCCCGGCTCGCTTATAGGCCCACCAGAGAATGTTCTAAGAATTTCTTGTGGCGCGCCCGAAATGTTATGAGAACATTTCTGGCTGGGACTGTCTTGTTGTAGCACACCGGGCTCAGGTACTGAGAGCACCGTTTTTGTTATTACAGCAGCTTGGGTTTTAAGAGCATGTCGTGGTGGGCCTCTATTACCAGCCAGGAACATATGCCTATCCCTATGATGGGCCTCTCCTCATCATGATGCCAATCTCAGGGATTCCCTTATTTGTTGAGAGCGCACCCCTCAGATTGGCATCGCCGTTTGGCGTGTCAATCTTAGGGATAGGGACAAGTCCGAGGCTGGTAGCTATAGGGATGCCAGGACGGTCGGCCCCTGCTCAAGCAGGTGGGCCCCTCGGCCCGCGGGCACGCCGTGGCCGCCTTCGGGAAGCTCTGCCTGCAGAGGGAGGCGCTCGCCAAGTCGTCGGTGGAGCTGCTGGTGCTGCACCTGGAGGGCAGGCAGCCGTTCGTGGTGCGGAACAACATCGTCGTCATCCTCGGCGACCTGTGCCAGCAGTACACGTCGCTGGTGGAGCAGTTCGTGCCGCGCATCTCCGACCTGCTGCGGGACGGGAGCGAGCTGCTGCGGAGGCAGGTGCTGACCACGCTGGCGTCCCTGGTGTCCGACGGCTTCATTCGCTTCCGCGGTTCCATCGTGCTGAGGTTCCTGTACTCGCTCGGTGACCTGGCCTTCCAGGTCCGGAAGCTGGTGGAGTGCATCTTTGACCGCGTGTTGTGCCCGCGCTGCCCAGACCTCTTCGGCCATGCTCTGATCGACATGATCTGCCTGCTGAACGGCTGGAGCGGCCTCCCCGGCAGCGCCGCGGATGGAAACCAGGCCTTCTCGCTGGCCACAGCGCCGCGGCGCCGCGCCATGGTGTACTCTTTCATGATGGGCCGCTTGACCTTGTCGCAGAGGTTTGCCCTAGAAGCCTCTTGATTCTTAAGACACCACCAGCCTCACGACCATACCCAAAACGACCACTCCATACCCGTTGAGTTAGGCACGCTCAGAAACATTAGCGCATGCGATGCCAGCGTGCCCTTCTCACGCACGCCCAGCGACCCCCCACACGCCCGCCCTGCGCACGCCTCTAGCCTTAGACGAATCAAAGGGGGCCCGAGGTTTGCCGCCTGCATCCGCCTCGTCTCCAAGCTGCTCGCGCCCTTCGTCTCCGAGGAGGGCCCGCTGGATGTTCCCATGGCGCGGCACGAGGCGCCCGGGCGCGTCATGTGCGACTGCCTCGCGCTCCTGGGGTGCAGGGAGGCACGCGCCTGCCTCGCCGCCGCGGGCCCGGCGGCGCCCGACGACGAGGGTGTCTCCTCCTCCTCCTCCTCCTCCTCCTCGTCCTCCTCCTCCTCCTCCTCCTCCTCCTCCTCCTCTTCCTCCTCCTCCTCCTCCTCCTCGTCCTCCTCCTCCTCCTCCTCCTCCTCCTCCTCCTCCTCCTCCTCCTCCTCCTCCTCCTCCTCCTCCTCCTCCCCCATTCCTTTCCCTTATACATAACTCCTCCCTGTCGCACCCCGAGGCCAGTTTTTAGGGCGGGCTGGGCGTTTCGCATGAGACTTCCCCACCGTTTATGACTCCGAAACTTTAAAGAAGTTGCAACAGCTTCACAGATGGAGGGCGGGTGGTTTTCAACATGTGGCTCTCGCCCCCCTAGCGCCGCGCACATTCGTTTTCAAAAATGTGCCAGATTTTTGCAGATTGAGGGCGGGTCGTTTTCAAAATGTCACTCTCGCCTTAGTGCCGCGCACATTCGTTTGGAAAATTGCAAGAGCTTCACGGCTTGAGGGCGGCTCTTTTTCAAAATGTGGTTCTCGCAGTAGCGCCGCGCACATTTTTATGATACCAAAAAACAAGAGCATCACGGATTGAGGGCGGGTGGTTCTCAAAATGTGGTTTTCGCTTCAGCGCCGTGCACATACGTTTCGAAAATTCACCAGAGTTTCATTGATTGAGGGCGGGTCGTTTCCAAAATGTGGCTCTCACAATAGCGCCGCGCACATTCGTTTCAAAAACATTCTACAACAAATCACATACTGAGGGCGGGTCGTTTTCAACATGTGGCTCTCGCCTTTAGCGCCGCGCACATTCGTTTTCAAAATTCACCAGAGTTTACTGATTAAGGGCGTGTCGCTTTCAAATGTGGCTCTCAAAGTAGCGCAGCGCACCTTCGTTTCAAACAATTACAAGAGCTTCACGTATTGAGGGCGGCTCCTTTTCAAAATGTTGCTCTCGCCTCAGTGCCGCGCACATTCGTTTACCAATTACAATAGCTTCATTTATTCCCATGATCAACGTACCAGAAATAGTGTTTTGTAAGGATTCAGGCTTGTGCGGGTGCAACAGTTATGTTGGTTCGCGGTGTTGAAGCCCGGCAACGGCGGTCTGGCACGATTCCAGATCGCCAGGACGCAGCAGTCAGGTATTCGTAGCGTGGAAATCCCGAGGACAATGTTTTGGCATGCTTCAAGGTCTTCGAACGGCTCTCTTCCAATGAGGCAGTTCTCTCAATGGAAATGAATCGTTGTATCGGCCCATGAAGAGGGAGCTTGGAGGGAGGGTTAATTCCAACACCCTTGATGACTCTTGGGTTTACACTGGTCCTCCTCCTCCTCCTCCTCCTTCTGCTCCTCCTTCTCTCCCTCCTCCAATTCGACCTCCTCCTCCTCCTCCTTCTCTTTCTCCTCTTCTTCCTCCTCCTCCGCCTCCACCTCCTCCCTTCTCCACCTTTCTACCTGACGCAGGCTTCTTGTCTCTTTGGTCAGCAGGATGGCCTTGGACTGTCGTTTGCCCTCGTCTCGTCTCTTGCTCTGAGCCGCCCGCCTCGTCTCTTATCGGACGATCCCGTGTTATCCTCGTCTCCTCTCCCTCCTCGTCCTCCTCCTCCTCCTCCTCCCTCCCCTCCTCCTTCCTCCTCCCTCCTCCCTCCCATCCTTCCTCCCCTCCTCCCTCCTTCCTCCTCCCCCCCCCCTGTCCCCCCTCCTCATCCCTCCCCTTCTCCCTCATCCCTCCCCTCCTCCCTCCTCCTCTCCTCCCTCATCACTCCTCCCTCCCCTCATTCCTCGTCCCTCCTCCTCCCCCCCCTCCTCCCTGCCCTCCTCCCTCCTCCCCCCTCCTTCCCTCCTCCCTCAGGAGACGCGGCCGGCGCCAGTGCTGGGAGGAGGCCCGTGGGCGCCCTGCACGGTGCCGTCAAGCAGGTGCTCTGCGAAGAGGTCTGCCCGGTGCTGGCGGAGCTGCGGGAGCGCCTGGCCGCGAGGCGCAGCCCGCTGCTGGGCGACCTGACGCGCTGCCTGCGCCGCCTGCTGGCCGACCACCCCGAGGAGCTGCCCGAACTGTTCCGCGAGTTGGCTGCTACGCGCAGAGGGCGGGGGGGGGGGTTAAGGGGAGGGGGGGAGGCGGCTGGGAAGGAGGCAGCTTCTTAGGAGGCGCGGGCCTCAGCCCCTCCCCCTCCCCCTCTTGGGCGCGCCGCCAGGCTTAGCTGCCCTGATGCCGAGACGCAACTCGTGCCGTGCTCAAGAGGTCCGTGTCAGCACGCTGCGCGCCGGCTCGGCTCGTGCTGGCCCACGTCTTGGGCGAGCGCCTCGCGCCGGACCCACGCTCTCGGCCTGCTCGCCGAGGCTCCGTGCCCGCGCGCCACGCGTGGCGTGCGGCGTACCGGGGCGGCCGAGGACGACGGCGACGACGACGACGACGACGACGACGACGACGACGACACGACGACGACGACGACGACGACGACGACGACGACGACGACGACGACGACGACGACGACGACGACGACGACGACGACGAGCCGCGCGGCGCCCCGAGGAGCTGCCCGAGCTCTTCCCCGGCGACCCCCAGCTCGCCGCGGAGCTGGCCTTCGACATCCGCGCCGCAGCCCACGAGCGGGGCCGCCCCGCCGCGGCCGAGGGCGTCACGCCGCTGGCGGCGGCCCTGGCGGCGGTGGGCAGCCCCGCGCCGGGCGGCCTGGCGACGCCGGGCCCCGCCGCGCGGTCCGGAGGGCCGCCGGTGCTGCCGCCGCTCACGCCCGCGCCCTCGCACCCGTCGCGGCGGAGGAGGAGGCCAGAGGGTCGACGGCACGTGCAGTCGACCCGCGCAGTAGGGGTAGGCAACCTTCCAGGGCTGGCTTCGATTCCTCCGACTGGATTCGATTCGATTTCGATGTCCTCCGATTCCGATTCGATTCGGCTTCGGATTCCGATTTGGATGCCGATTCCTCAAAAGGAGGCCTACTACAGTAGTCTGCCGATTCATGCCAATTCGACTTCTCCCGATTTGGCTGCCGATTTTTGCTGATCCTATTCATTTCGATCGCCGATCCGACTTCTCGATTCGATTTTGGTCTCTCCTGACCTTCCCGAGGGTGCCCTTGCATCCTAGCACCTTCGGCCCATCCTTAGCGTTTCTCGCCAGTCAACCTCGTTCGAAAAACGCTAATGTGGCACTCCGAGACCCGTGCATCATTACCACGCATTCTTATTAGATGGGTTGGCTGTATTGGGCGTGTGGTACTGGGGGGGGGACCTCAGTGGGGGGTGACCAGAAGACCCCCTGGGGGCCTTCTGCTTCACCCCCGTGAAGGTCACCGCCCATGCACGTATCACGCCGGTGGTGATGTACCACCCGCCCGAACGTACAAAGGCCTCCCCAGCGGGGTCGGAGTAGGTGGGGTCGAAGGAGCGCGCCGCATCGGCGGTGCTTCGGCGATGCAGCGCGATGTGGGCAGCGCCGACAGCGCCGATGCATCGCCGATACATTGGGGATGCAGTGGCGATGCGGCGCGATCCTCTGGCCCCATCTGCTACTTGGACCCCATCTGGGAGGCCCCTCCCCACACGTACGAGGGACCCTTCGCCGGAGTGACCCTTGGTGCGCGGCTTTGGGAGGCGCGTTGGGGGAGAGGAGCATCTTGCGAAGCCGTGCCCCACTCTGCAAGGCCGAGGCCCTGCAGAGGATCGGGGAAACGTAAGACTCCAGTACGCACGATCTCGGGCTCTGACCCCATCCCAGAAATACGGGGCATCTGGAGCTCTGCTCGGGCGTGAACTCACCTGGCTCAGCGCAAGCCTCGCTCTGCCAACTTCGGAAAAGCTGCGCTGCCATCTGCTCGGGGGGCGTCCCAAACGGGGCTCTGCCAATATGCGAGGCCCTCGAGTGGCTCCCAGACCCGGCCCGTTCGCCTGCGTTTTCCGTCTCCGGGGGAGGGGAGCCCAGGCGCGCAGGCCGCTGCCGTCGCAGTCGCGGGAGACGATCTCGTCAGGCCGCGCATCACGGGCCACCCCTTGCCCTGGTGCAGCGAGCGGCTCGAAGAAGGAGCACTTGCTTTTCACAAGGGGCTCGGTCGTTCCCTCGGCGTGCATGCGCGATTTGCCGCTCCTTGTGCGTTATCGATTGCTTAGCGTTCCTCATGCCTTACTCCTTGGGAGAATGTGGGCTTCGTTCCTTCATTTATCGGGAGGGAGGAGGAGGGGGAGGAGGGAGGGAGGAGGAGGAGGGGGAGGAGGGGGGAGGAGGGGGAGGGGAGGAGGGGGGAGGGAGGGGGGAGGAGGGGAGGAGGAGGGGGGAGGGCGATGACTGTAAGGCGTTGGGGCTGGCCGCGGACAGCCCCCCCTGAAGTCCTGGCGGGCCTCAACGGCAAGTCGGGCATGCCCCTCTACAGGAGGAAGATCCAACAACAACGGTATGGTCTGGGGACGACGGTTCGACCATTCTCGACAGCCCTTGCACCTGTTTTGGCTTTTTTTTGGGGGGGGGTCGACCATTCTCGACAGCTCTTGCACCTGTTGTGGCTTTCTGTTGGTTCTTCCAAAAACTGCCTGCAGGAGGACATGCCCGACCTACAGTCGGAGCCCTGAAGAAGGAACCCTTTTCGTTGGGGAGGGGCTCCGTGTTCCTTGATCGTTTCGCAGCTTGCCTTAGATTTTCCTAAGGTTTTCGATGCGAAATCGAAGTTTAACTTCTGGAAAATAGGGGCCTCGTTCCTTATTTAGGGTTCCTTAGGTCAACGCCCCGACTGTAAGCCTAACCGCCCCCACGGGCAGTCTGGGGCGGCCTCAGAATCCCAGCCTTGTGGCGCGGAGCGCCACAGAGGGGCGCCTGCTGAGGCCGGCCGGAACTGCCTGCGAGGGCGTTTTTTTGTGCGCAGCCCGAGGCCCTACCTTGGGGGGCAGCGATAGGGGGGGACTGCCATAGGGGGGGGGGGACGCGTCGACCTGGAATCGGTTATACATCGCCGATAGTAGATCGGCGCTAGGCCCCCGAGAGTGAGTCCGCACCTTCCTGGGCCGATTGGGGCCATCGGGCCCCCCATCGGCGATCGATGGGCGAGTGGGGGTCGATGCATCCCCCCCTACAGCCGGGGCCTTGAAGAAGGAACCCTTTGCGTTGGGGAGGGGCTCCGTGTTCCTTAAGTGTTTCACAGCTTGCCTCAGGTGTTCCTTACGTTTTCGATAGGAAATCAAAGTTTAACTTATGGAAAAAAGGGGCCTCGTTCCTTATTTAGGGTTCCTTAGGTCAACGCCTCGACTGTATGCCTGTCCCCCTCCCCGTGTCGTTGACCCTGACTGCCATCTCGCCTGGGGTCGTTCTTGCGTGCAGCCGAGGCCCGGAGGCGGCGGTGAGGCCAGCGGCTCCCCGCCGTGCAAGCGGAGGCTCGGCGCCGCCCGAACCTGCTCCCACACTCCACGTGCGTCGGCCACGCATGAGGGCGACGCGCACGGTTCGGGAGTGGACAGAGCCCCCAACAGTGACACGTCGATGAGTAAATTGTCCGTTTTCGGTTCTCGAGAGGGTGCCGTGGCCGCTATTTTCCGGGCTTGCGCCCGCCAGGTTTGGGCCTCAGGTCGTTTTCACCAAACCACGTCTTGCTAAAGGGAGGTTTGTCCGTCCCCGAACGGTCGGAAAGGTTCTAGTAGAAGCTCCGTACGCTGGCGTTTCCTGGCCATACCGCGCAGGAAACGATGGCAGAGTGAGGGGGCCAAACGGTCATTCAGTGTCCCTGCCCTCTCTGCTGAAGTGGGCTTCCGCGGTGTGGATGTTCATTTCCCCCCAAAAAAGTGATTGTTGATTCCCCCTCTGGAAACCATTGTACGTTTCAATGTGAGTGCTTCTCCCGGGGTTCGCACCCTGTTTTGTTCAAGGGCAAGTGAGGTGTCACCAAACTGTGATGTTGGACCCCAGATTACAATAATAACCACAACAAGAACAACACCAACAACAACAATAATTGTAATATTGATCGCTCTTATCTGCTCGCGTGCCACTCAACACGTATATCCCGAACCCTCGATACCCGCATTCTGCGTCTTCGACCGTACCCCCTTGGGGGTATATCTTTCTTTCCTGCAACGTGCATTTCGTGCAGCACCTGAGGCAGGGCTGAGGCAGGGGAAGAGAGGACGGATGGAAGGAAGGGACAAGGGGGAGGGAGGAGGATGGAGCACGAGAGAGACTTGGAGCACAGGGGCTAGGAGCAGAAAACACGTGGCAGAACCAGACGGGCAGATCGGGCCGGTAGACCCTACCAGGCGGGTCGAGAAGGAGGGCCCGAAGCGTGCGCCCTGCATGAATCGCGAGGAAGTCTCAAGCGACAGCTCGATTACCAAATCAATCGTGAGGGAATCCACAGCGAGAGCGTGACTCCTGAATGTCGTGGGCGCGGCGCCTGAATAATTGAAGGAAGTCCCACGCGAGAGCGCGATCCCTAAATACATTGTGATGAAGTCCCACGCGAGAGCGCGATTTGGGAATACATTGTGAGGAAGTATCAGGCGGGAGCCGTTGTTGTTGTAGTTCGGGGGCCAACAACGCAGTTTGAGGAGGAATATTCCCCCTGATAGAAAAACAGGGTGCGAGCCCCAGGAAGGGTACTTGGCTGAACAATCACATATATGTAGAGAGAGATATGCGACACAGTCTTAAATTGATTGAGGTTGTTGTTGTTGGTGGTGGTGGTGTTAGTGCTGCTGTTGTTGTTGCTGCTGTTGTTGTTGTTGCTGGTGTTGGTGTTGTTGGTGTTGTTGTTTCTGCTGTTGTTGCTGTTGTTGCTGTTGCTGTTGCTGCTGTTGCTGCTGTTGCTGCTGTTGCTGCTGTTGCTGTTGCTGTTGCTGTTGCTGTTGCTGTTGCTGCTGTTGTTGTTGTTGTTGTTGTTGTTGTTGTTGTTGTTGCGGTTGTTGTTGTTGTTGTTGTTGTTGTTGTTGTTGTTGTTGTTGTTGTTGTTGTTGTTGGCAACACCGTGTTTCAGAGGCCCCCCTGGGGAAGGGGGAGGGGCGCACCGCACCGCGCGCACCGTACCAGGCGCACCGCACCGCGCGCACCGCAGCGCACTGCACCGCGGGGAATCCTTAAACATCCGAAGGAATCCCTAGGGAATCCTTCGGAATCCCGAGGGGATCCCTAGGGCGTCCTACGGAATCCTTTGGAATCCTTTGGAATCCTAGGGAACCGTCAGGAATCTTCAGGGAATCCGGAGGAGTCCCTAGGGAACCCTACGGGATCCCCACGGAATTTTCTGGCACCCTAAGGGGCTAGGGAATCCTCAGGAAGCCCTAGGGTGTTCTACGGAATCTTCGGGATCCCTGGGGAATCCTGGCGGAATCCTAAGGAATCCCTCGGGAATCCTACAGAATCCTGGGGATTCTTCGTGGGGGCTTCTGGGGACACCAAACTGACAACAAATATCCGGTCCTCCGTTTCTCTCCCGCCCCCCCTCCCCCTCTTCCCCGTCCTCGTGCTTCTCCTCCTCCTCCTCCTCCTCCTCCTCCTCCTCCTCCTCCTCCTCCTCCTCCTCCTCCTCCTCTTCCTCCATCTCCTCCTCCCGCCCCTCCGCGTGGAGACGCGGGATGTGGGCATCGGCGGGAGGATTCCTGACGCGATCGTCGGTTCGATCGCCGCTGTGCAGGCCGTCAACCTGCCTCCTGAAGGATTCGTTGAGCATTGATGTAGAGTTGTCGCTGCTCCGTTTGTTCCGGCGCGCGGCCTTGCGTCTCGGGGAGGGCGCCGCGGCCGCCAGGGCAAATCGCCGCTACGGCCGCGGTGGATTCGCCGTGGGTTTGCCGCGGTGCCGCCTTCGTCTCCTTGGGCGCGGGGCGCAGGGTCTGATTAGGATGATCATGTTGAACATGATGATGACGATGATGACGATGGTGATGGTGATACACATGATGACTATGATTGTGATGCTGAGCATGACGATGGTTATGATATTGATAATTATTGTTATGATGTTGACGATTATGACTGTAATGGTGATGGCGATGATGGTGATGATGCGGGCTATGATGCTGATTACCATGATGATGTTGACGACCATGACCATGATGATGCAAGTGGTTTTTTTTTATGATTATGATGACGATGTTGAACATGAGGGTGGCTATGATGATTATGCTGACGATGATTCAGATGACGAGTATGATGATGATTTTCCAACCCCTTCCCCTATTCAATGTTGGAACGGGTATGTCGCATGTCGCTCTCGCCTGAGGAGACGGATGGAAAGGATGACGAGGCTGAAGAGGATGATTGGGAAGAGGGATGATGATGATGATGATGATGATGATGATGATGATGATGATGATACCTAGGATGGTGAGGGCAATAATGATGCGGCGGAGGATGACGAAGATAATGATGGAGAGGATGAGGAGGAGTATGACGATCATCTATACGAGGATGATAAGAGTGGGGAGGGCAATGATGAGGATGATGGAGATGACGATGATGCACATGCGTATGATGAGTAGCCTTATGCTCGCAGTGTTGAGTGCGATCGTCCTCCTTGTCCTCCATCCTCCTCCCTCTCCCCTCTGCCTCCTCCTCGATCTGCTCCCCCTCTTCTCCCCTCTCTGCCTCCTTCTCGTCCTCCTCCCCCTTCTCTCCCCCCGCTCTCTCCCGTCATCCGTGTTCTGTCCCCTCCAGGGGGAGGGAGGTGGAATCGATGATAATAACGATCATCATGGTAATGGCATAGTCTGGAGCAAGTAGTTAGCACGAACGCTATACGGCCTGTGCTATCTCCGACTCCAGGCCGGACATCGCCCAACATTTTACTGGGTAATTTTCGTTTCGGCCCAAACGTTGATAATGGGCCACTGTTTGAAATTACAACCCGGAATTTCACGCATCAAATGCGATGACGAGTCCAGGATTGTCCGAGATAGGGCGTTGTTGCAGTGAAGGAGGCGTTTCATATTATATTATACGCTTCGGGTGACATCTGGCGCTTTCGTTTGTTAGTTGTTTCGCACGTTGCTGCAATGAAGGGGGCGTTTCATACGATAGTTTACGTGACGGGTGACATCTGGCGTTTCCCTAGCTCTTTTGGGGGGGGATGGAAACGCAGAGCGGGGAGTAGATAGCACAGCCAGGGATTTGGCGTGTTCCTGGCTCTTTCGGGGGGCGGGGGGGGCACTCTGCACAGGGAGTAGATAGCACACCCAGGGAGAGAGGGCGCGTTCCTCCTCCTCCCCCTCCCCCTACTTCTCTGCCGCTGGGAGCAGACAGCACACCCAGGGAAAAAGGGGGGAGGGAGTGCGGATGGGGGAGGAGGTAGGGGGAAGGGCGTGAGAGAGTGAGAGAGAGAGAGAGAGGCAGAGAGAGAGGGAGAGACCCCCGGCGGCCCTTCGGCCGCCTTCGGAGGCCCTCAGCGGCCTTCTGGCGGCGCCTTGCCGGCCCTCGGCGGCCCTCGGTGGCCTTCAGTGGCTTGGGCAGTGGCTCGTCGTCGTCGTCGTCGTCGTCGTCGTCATCCTCGACCTTCCTCCTTCACAAGGAGAGGAGTAGAGAGGAGAGGAGAAGAGAGGAGAGGAGGGGAGGAGAGCGTGGGGGAGAGAAGGAAAAGGAGGAGGAGGAGGAGGAGGATTCGAAGAGCCGCGCTGATTCAAATCAGCGTGTGCTAACGACACTTGGCGGTCGTCAGCCCCGCCCCCCCCAAGCGAGTAGTTAGCACAGGCTTCCCAAAGAGTAGTTAGCACCAGCTGGGCTGGACCCATTTTGCAAACCCTGAAGGTGCATCTCTTCATGCCTGAAGTTGTAGCGCCAGCAGATAGCACAGCTTTCGGCCTGTGCGAATTAAGCATTGAACTACTCGTGCCAACTACTTGTTCCAAACCATAATGATGATTAGGATGATGGTAGTGATGATGCTGACTAGGCTGACGTCGATGATGAGAATGGTGGTGGCGATAATGCTAGGTTTGACGAGGATGATGAACTTGATGATGATGATAATGATGATGATGATGATGATGATGATGATGATGATGATGGCGATGCTCATGGTAGTACTGGTGACGACGGTAATGATGATGCTGGCTACGATGATGATGATGCTTGTGGTACTGGTGACGGCGATTATCATGATGCTGACTACGATGATTATGATGGTGGTGGTACTGGTGAGGACGATAATGATGATGCTGACTACGATGGTGATGCTTACTAGGATGACGACCATGGCGATGATGATGGTATTGGCGATGATTGCGTTGTGGTGACGATGGTGATGATTCTGACGATGGTGATGACGACGATAATCATCATGATGATGGTGATGACGATGATCAGTATGATGATGGTGATGACGACGGTGATGGTATTGATGCTGATACACTTATCATAGGATTCTATTTGGAGTGGATACACGTCTGATAGGATTCTATCAGGAGTGGACACACCTCTCATATCTAATAGGGGAGGGTCTACCTCTAATAAGATTCCAGCAGGGGGGATACACCTCTAATAGGATTGTATGAAACGTGGATACACCTCTTATAGGATTCGACTAGGGGTGGGTACACTTTTCATAGGATTCGATTAGGGGTGTTGGTAATCCTCGGGTGGAATTCTATTAAGAGCGGATACACGTCTCATTGGATATATGAGAGGAGGATGCACTTCTAACTTCTAATAGGATTGATTCTCGTAGAGGAGGATACACCTTTAATAGGATGTGATTAGGGGTGGATACACGTCAAATCGGATTGTATGAGGGACATTTAACAGGATTCTATTAGGGGCGGATGCACCTCCAGTTGAATTCTATTAGAGGTGGATTCGCGTCTTATCTGGAGTGGAGACACCTCTGGCGGATATACCTCTATCAGGATTCTATTAGAGGTGGAAACAACTCTAGTAGGATTATACCAGGGATGGAGACACCTCTACTAGGATTCTGTTAGAGGTAGATACACCTCCTAATAGGCTTGTGATACAGGTTGATGCACCTCTAATCGGATTTTATTAGAGGTGTATCCACCTCTAATAGGACTATATTGGAGGTGTATCCACCTCTACACTTCTAACCCGATTCCTGGATGCACCTCTTCCAGGATTCGAGTAGAGCCTCTAATGGGATTCTATTAGAGTGACACCTCTACACTTCGAATAGGATTCGATTAGTGGTGGATACACCTCCTAATAGGATTGTAATAGAGGTGGATGCACTTCTACACTTCTACTCGGATTCGATTAGAGATGGATACACCTCCTAGTCGGATTGTATTAGAGGTGGATGCACCTTATAGGAGTCTCCAAGAGGTTGGTACACCTTGAATCGGACTTTTTTAAAGGTGGATGCACCTCCATCAGGATTCATGTAGAGGTGGATGCACCTCTTATAGGATTCCATTAGGGGTGGATGCACTTCTAGTAGGCTTCGATTATAGGTGGATGCACCTCTTCTAGGATTCTATTAGAGGTGCGGAGGTGCGGTGCGGTGTGGTGCCCCCCCCAAGCCCCGAGGGGGCCTCTGAATACTGGTGTTCTTCCTGTGGGGACGACGGGTAAGCGAAACCCTGGGCATGGGGCCCAGAAAGCCGGTGTTGCCGTGTTGTTGTTGTTGCTGTTTCTGTTGTTGTTGTTGTTGTCGTTGTTGTTGTTGGTGGTGGTGTTGTTGTTGTTGTTATTGTTGTTGTTGGTGTTGTTGTTGTTGGTGCTGCTGTTGTTGTTGTTGCTGTTGCTGCTGTTGTTGTTGTTGTTGGTGTTGTTGTTGTTGCTGCTGTTGTTGTTGTCGTTGTCGTTGTCGTTGTCGTTGTCGTTGTTGTTGTTGTTGCTGCTGCTGTTGTTGTTGTTGTTGAACATTATTAATTCTAAAAAATAATTATTGTTGGGCCCCCTGGTGCGCGCCCCCCCCGCCGCGCCTAGGCCGCAGCCACGTTTTCATCATTTTCGTGAGGAAGCCTCAGGTAATTCGAGGTGATCAAGATCCGGTTGTTTTGTTGTAATCCGTTTTCCCTTGCAAAAAACACTATAAAATGACATTTCTTGTTCTAATATAATCAAATTTCAAGAATCCCTTGCAAAAAATAAGGTAAAGTGGACATTCGCGCGCGCAAGACGAAATCCTTCCAAAAGCTTAGTGTTCGGAGCGATTTTAACATAAAAACATCAAAAAACCAATGGTTTTTCAACAAAAACATGTCAAAATCTCATCCCGCGCGCTCTTGCGGATTCGTAGGAAAACCAACACTTTTTAAACATTTCTGTCAAACGGGCTTTTGCGAGCAACTTTTTCGAACTTCTGCGACAACGGTTGCGCACCTGCCAGGGCCATCATCCCTGTCAAATAATACCATGCGGGACACATTCGTCTCTCTGTATTATGTATTGTATGGCACAATTGCACCATGCTGGGCACATGCGCGCCCCGAATAAGTGACCAAGTTCTGTGGGTGTGTACCCCACGCCAGTGTAGTAGCCACGGTCGTCCGCACGCCACGAAGTGAAGTGTCCCAACGTCATAGGGCGGGAAGCTGGGTTTGGGTGGTCGCGAAGAGTCGTTTGGATATTTGGTAGAGCTTGTAATGCCCCCCCACGAAGTGGGGGTATTGCCTGGTGTCGTATGAAAACCCTGGCACTGGGGAGAACACCACGCGTTCGGGTAAAATGATTGTTGTTGTTGTTGTTGTTGTTGTTGTTGTTGTTGTTGTTGTTGTTGTTGTTGTTGTTGTTGTTGTTGTTGTTGTTGTTGTTGTTGTTGTTTTCTTTCTGCTGAAGAATAAGTATTGTTGTGAACCCCCCTGGCGCACATCGTACTGCGAATGCCTTATGACCGGTGCCGCCGACCCCGCCGGGGAACGACGACAACGGCGGCGGCAGCGACGACGACGACGCTGACGTGCGTCAGAGTCCTCATGACTGCTTTTTGGAGTCTCTTCGAAACGCTCTCGCGGGCCTCTAGGGGGCAGTTTAGGGGCCTCTTGGGAGCCTCTTGGGGCCTCTTGGGAGCCTCTTGGGCGCATTTCGGAGCTTCCCGGGGCCTCTTGGGGGCCTATTGGGGCCTCTTGGGGCCTCTTGGTTCCTCCTGGGAGCCTCTCGGGGCCGAGAGCTCGAAATGCCCGTTTTGGTCCCTCGTCTGGGCACCCTCTTGGAGCTGTCTTGGGGGCCTCTTGGGCCGTCTTGGAGGCGTCTTGGGCCGTCTTGGGGTCCTCTTGGGCCGTTTCCACCGTCTTGGGGCGATCTGGGAGGCCTCTTGGGCCGTCTTGGAGCGTCGGGAAGCAGAAGAGGCGAGAACGCCGAAATGCTTCAGAAACCAATGGGAAATCAGCAAATGTTCCTCGTGGGACCATCTTGGGAGTGTTCTTGGAGGCCTCTTAGGGCGTCTTGCAGGGGCCTTGGACCGTCTGGAGGCCGTCAAGGCATCTTGGACATATCGTTCGGCGATTCGTGGCCCTTTTGAACTGTCTTGGGGGCCTCTTGGGGCACTCTTGGCTTGTCTTGGAGCTTTCTGTGGGTCCCGGGGCCCCACGGGGGGGAGGGGGAATCTGACCCGGGACTCCCTGGGACCTCCCCTGGGACCCTACCGGGACCCCCCCTTGGACCCCCTCCCTCCCGGCGGGGGAGGGATCAAAGGGAAGAGGCTTCCCTTCGAGTCAATTGCGATCGCGTTGTTCAATTTCGCTTTGGCTGGCGCGCTTGAGGAGTCGGGCCTAGGGAAGGGGGGGGGGAGCGGCGACGGGCCCAGCGCTTGAGGAGGAGGGCTCAGGGAAAGTGGGGGGAGCGGCGACGGGCCCAGGGAAGGGGGGGCGCAGGGAAAGGGGACGACAGAGACGATGCCTAACGAATGATGGAGACGACGACACGAACGGACAGGCCCCTCACACACGCCGACAGGGTCGGCGGATTTGTCCCATTGAAGTGCGCTTCCCGGGACTCGCACCCCGATTTTTAATTGGGAAAGTCTTGAGGTTCACATTGGCCCCCTGGCCCGCGAACTACAACAACACCGGCTCTCGCGCAAGACGTCTTCACAATGTATGCAGGAATCGCGCTCTCGCGTGGCACTTTCTTGCAATGTGTTGAGGTGCTGTGCCCCCAAGACTCACAAATCACGCTCCCGCTCTGGATATCCTAGCGAGCCATTTGGGAATCGCGTTATCGCTCGAAACTTCCTTCATGATGGGTTGAAGCATTAGCGACCCGCCCGCTCGACCTGGCCGTCTGGGCCCGCCCGCCCGACCTGCCCGTTAGGGTCCGCCCGCCCGACACGCCAGCCTGGTCCAGCCGCTTGCGCTGCTGCTCCTAACCCTCCCCCAACAATGCGGGACAGGAAAATGACCACAGCAACTGCTTCTTGTATGCGCCGCCTTCCAGCCGGCCGAAAAAGAAGCAGTGGTTGTGGTCATTTCCTTGGTGCCAAGCTTAACGAAGATGACCACAACCACTGCTTCGTTTCTGCTGGCTGGAAGGCGGCAACAAAAGAAAAGCAGTGGCTGTGGTCGTTTTTGCGTCCCGCAAACAAACTTCTCTCGTTCTCCATCCTTCTCCCTCCCCTTGTCTCTTCACTCCTCCGTTCCTTTCCCAGTTTTAGGGCCTGCGCCAACTACACGTGGCAGGTATTGAAGATACGCACCCCAAGAGGGTGTACGATCGAAGACGAAGAGGGCGGGTACCAAGGGATCGGGATAGACGTGTTGAATGGCACACGAGCAGATAAGAGCGAGCAGTCTTGGAATGAGTGTTGTTGGTGTTGTGATCATTGGTGTTGTTGCTGCTGCTGTTGTTGTTGTGGCTGTTATTGTTGCTGCTGCTGTTGTTGCTGTGGTTGTTGTTGTTGTTGATGTGGTTGAATTGTTTGATGTGATTGTTGCGAGTGTTATTGTTATCGCTGTTGCTGTTGTGGTGGTTGCGGTTGTGGTTGTTGTTGTTGTTGTTGGTGGTGGTGGCTTTTGGTGTTGGTGTTGTGTTGTTGGTGGTGATGGTGTTGTTGTTGATGATGGCGTTGCTGCTGCTGTTGGTGGTGGTGTTGTTGCTGTTGTTGTCGTCGCCCTCGCCCGCGACCCGCCCGCTACTCCCCCGCGACCCCCCCGCGGCCCACCCCGCGACCCCCCCCGCGACCCTCCCGCGGCCCACCCCGCGACCCACCCCGCGCCCCGCCCGCGACCCACCCCGCGGCCCGCCCGCGACCTTCCCCGCGCCCGCTCCCCTCCTTCACACCCGCAGCTGCGGGGTGCTGCACACTGCAAGGTGCTGTGCTGCATGCTCGGGCCTGTGCGTCTCGTGCGCCCCGGAGGCTTTTCGCCGCGGGCGGCGCCGAGGCGCCGCGAGAGGGCGGATCTGAGGGCCGCGGCGGCGTGGAGGCCCGCCCGCTGCGGTGCCCGACGCCGCAGCGCCGCGGGGGCGGCAGGGCCACGGCAGCGGAGTGACGAGGCGGCGGCAGCCTCCGGGAGCCGGAGGAGAACGCACGGCAGGAGCACCAAATTTTTGGGTCTCCGCGCAGATGTCTGGGTCTGCGCTGGGAATCTGGAGCCGCTCGGGTGATTCGCCTCTTCCGGCCTCCGGGGGCCCCCGGGAGTCGAAGAAGAAAGCACGGCATAAGCGCCAAATTGTGATCGGGCGTTGCGCAAGTGGGGGGGGGTGTTGGGCGGGGGAGAAGCGTGCACCTTTCGTGCTCAAGTTTTTCGGACTGAATTTGTAGCTGCACCTTCCCTCGCCCCCCAATGCATGGCCCCCCCCCCCAATTCAGCAACGCCCATACGGTCGGGAACTTCGGCTCAGAGTGTCGCGCTGGCCCGTCCTGGCCCACAGCGTTTCGGCGCGACGCGCGGTCCACTTCCCAGCCCCCAGGCGTCAACGTCGCGAGCCGTGCCGTGCCGTGCCTCACGAGGGGGAAACGTGTCGCTGGGCCCTCCTCCTCCTCCTCCTCCTCCTCCTCCTCCTCCTCCTCCTCCCCACAAGTCACTGACCGTAGACACATACCCGTCTGAGCTCCGGTCCCCTGGTGGCGCCAGCGCAGATCCGAGAAGTCCGCGCGGAGTTCCGAGGGTTTCTGTTCATGCATTTTGGTCTTCATCTAGGAGCGGCGAAGGCTTCGACGTGCCTTCTGCGAGTGCTCGCCAGCATGGTGTTGGCGCTGGCCTCTGAGCACGGGCGCGATCAGAGGAGGGCCAGTGGAGACAACGGCGATTGGCCTCCGAGGGAGTCCCTCGTTGCCGCGGCTGGACGCAGCTCCGAAAACTGGCGCGCTTGGACCCCTCGGAGGGATCCGGGGACCGACTTTCAGCTGCCGTGGTCGGCTGCACGTGAGGAGGAGGAGGAGGAGGAGGAGGAGGAGGAGGAGGAGGAGGAGGAGGAGGAGCAGGAGGAGCAGGAGGAGCAGGAGGAGGAGGAGGAGGAGGAGGAGGAGGAGGAGGGTTCAGGTCCACAGGGCCGCCCCCCGAAGCCGGCCTGCACGCTCGGATTTGGGCGTCCCCGAGGCCCTCTGAAGCCGCGCACCCAGAGGCCACTCGTGCCTATAGGGCCAGCCTCCTGCGAGTAGCCAAGCGTGGTCGACTCGCCCTGCCCCGAAGGCACGGCGGCGGCGGCCCCCAGGAGTGGCGCAGGCGCCGCCGTGCCCTCTGTGCGCGCCCCCGGCCGCCTCACCAGGCACGGCGTCGGTGCCCGGCCTCCGCCGGGCACCCGGGCGCGGGCCGCCGGA